GGACACATTTAAATACCAGGAGACCAGTGTGGAGATTTCAGCCTAGAATTCTTCATGAAGCCTTATACGAGAAAGAGTGACTAGACTTGGGGAATAAACAAGCCGTGTTTCTAGTTTTATATGAGCATTATTCCATATTTCTTCCCTTTTCTTACCCTTCCCACCTTTGAGATTCCAAAGATTCCAAGTTCATTTATAAAATAGAGAAATCTTCATACAGTCTGTGGTGGTCTAAATGAGATCAACACCCATAGATTTCAAGTATTTGGACATTTGTCCCCAGTTGGTGGTGCTGTTTAGTGAGGTCTTAGAAGGTGTGCCCTTGGTGGAGGAAGCAATGCAGAGGCATTAGACAGGTCTTAAGGCTTGCTCTCTGCTTCCTGTGCCTGCTTGAAAATCGAGTGCTTCTCTTTCTGTTCCAGCTACCTCCTGCCACCACACCTCCCCACCCTGATGGATTCTGATCTGCTTGAACCATAAGATTAAATAAACTCTTCCTTTTATAAATTCTGTTGGTCACAGTGTTTTATCACAGCAACAGAAAATTAATACCGAGTCAGTGCTGTGATATATATTACTGAAGTTTAGTATTAAGAAGTCTTTCAAATTTATAATATAACATTCTTTAATTTAATATGACACACAATATTTTGGACAATATGTTAAATCTTCATAAGTCACACAGTTCCTCAGTATGGCACACAATATTTTGGACAATATGTTAAATCTTCATAAGTCACACAGTTCCTCCCCTGTAAAACGTGGACACTATCTACTTCATAAATTTGAAGGATCCAGGTCACACTGGCTCCATTTTTTAGCAGCCTCCATCTTGTCAGTCTTAAGTCTCTGTTCCTAGAAACTGTGAGTCTCCTTTGCCCCATACTGCTGGCTAAGATTAGGCAAACCCAGACATGCCTTCCTTATCTGAATCTAACAGAAACCAACCAAAATTCCTGACCATAAAAGTGCATCCAGAGGCCGATAGGGGTACCCTACCATAAAAGGAAAAATTGAGACATTCCAGGTGGCTGAACATGACTATAACCAATGAAATTTCCCCTTGTACAAAAAATTCAGAGTTATCGAATCAATTCAAAGGTTGTCCATTTGTATGGGCTTTTCAAGAGTACCCAGTAAAAATCCCCACTCATTGTTGGTCAGTGCCAGACTCCATTGTTTGGCTCCTACTGTGCCCAACTGGTCGTTCAAGAATTGGAATGCTTTTCAATAAAATTTTCTAAATTTCAAATTTTGGTGGGTGGTCACTAGTTATTCCTGAACCTCAGACCCACTATTTTGGGGGCTCGTCCAGGATTTGGGAACTATAAGCTTGGACCCCCTTTTCTGAGAATATTCGGGAATATTGGATGGACCCCCTTTTCTGGGAAGAGCACTCGTCTGCTGTCGGACTTTGGTGAGTTTTCCTCTGGTTTCTGTTTCTGGTGTCTGGATAATCTGGGACTCACGGGAGACCAGGCAGATGTACTATTGGTCTCAGAGCCAGGGGAGTCCGGGGGATGCCCCAACTCCTCTCTTGATGGGGGATCCAGGGGATATTCTGGCTTGGCCTCCTTTGGAAAAGGAGCATTCTTTTTGGTTGACTGTGCACTGCTAAATCTTTCCACCAGCTCGCAGAGAGCTTCCTTCTTCCATTCTCTCTGCTTCCTTCTTGCAGTTTCATTTTCATTACCGTGTGATTCTCTTGTTCCTGTTTGCCTTAACACCTTCTCTCCTACTATTCTTCCTTGAGATCTTTGCCAAGGTGGGTCAACAGGTTTCCTCTATGCCTCTTGACCTAGTCCTTGATCATTTCTCAGATTTCCAGAAGGCATCTTCTACGATGTCTGGACTGCGTGTCAAACCCAGCTGCCTGAGCTCCTTCTGTTCCATTTAATGGCCCTCCTTTAAAGTTGGCTGGCTCTTGAAGGACTCTTTTGACTTAACTCTCATTTACAGGGTGCATGAGGTCATCTTTGGCTCCCCAGGACACCCAGACCAGATCCCCTATATCTTAGGCTGGTGCCATATGGTCACAGACCCTCCTGAATGACTGAAACCTCACCTTCCTCCCCCAGGCTCAAAACTGCCAGTCACTCTCCTCCCTTTGAAGGAGAAGGAACACAAGGGTCCCTCAAAACCCCCGGTCCTCCCCCCGTCAGTCCCAGAGGAAAAGTTCTTCTTTTTGCCTCCCTATGCTCTGGCCATACCCCTGGGAGTCAACATCCTGAGGCCTCTCCACCCCCTGCAGCCTGACCATGAGCCCAGTAGCCCCTCCCCAGAGAAGGAGCCAGAGGACCTTCCCTCTCTCACCTCAGTCTCGGGCCCCACCTCTCCAGGCCCCTGCCCACTGGACACTTGATCTCAGGAAGGGGAAAGAATTGTTCAAGCTTTGCCACTGAGGAAAGTCATCCCCCCCACCCTGACATGGATGGGGCGACCCCCTAGCTTATTTCCCTTTTTCTGTGAGTGTCTTCTATAACTGTATGTTGCAAACTCCCTCCTTCACAGTGAAACCACAGGCTCTAATCAGTCTTCTAGACACTGTCCTTTCACCCACCAACCTACTTGGGATGATTGTCAGCAGCTGTTGCAGGTCCTTTTTACCACTGAGGAGAGAGAACGGATCCAATAGGAATGCCATCAGCTGGTCCCAGGTGATAATGGGTGACCCACTGACAATGAGGACCAGATAGCTGCTTCCTTTACCCTTACCCGGCCTATGAGAGGATGGGACTACAACGTGGCTGAAGGTAGGGAGCACCTGAAGGTCTCTCGCCAGGTTCTAATGGAGGATCTCCGGGCCTCCACGAGGCATCCCACAAATTTATCTAAAGTCATTCAGGTAATACAGGACAAAACAGAAACCCCAGGAGCTTACCTAGAACGTCTCCTAGAGGCCTATAGGACCTACACCCCATTGGACCCAGAAGCACCAGCAAACCAAATGGCAATTAACATGGCCTTTGTAAACCAGGTGGCCCTCACATCAAGAGAAAGCTCCAACACCTTGAAGAATTTGAAGGTGAAAATCTAATGGAATTGGTAGTAGTGGCTAATAAGGTGTATAACAACAGAGAGACATCGGAGGAATGACAAACGAAGGGGCTTGTCAAAATTCTCCTTAGTGAAAGAGGAAAGCCTCCACACCCAGTTTTCAAGGCCCGGATGACTGGAAGCCACCCCCCACACTGGGAAAATAGGGAAAGACCTCCTCTTAGAAAGGATCAATGTGCTTATTGCAGGGAGTTGGGGAATTGGAAGGGCGAATGCCCCCTCAAGACTGGAGGTCAGAGGACATCCACCCTGCAGTTCCTAACCCTTACACCCTCTTGAATTCATTGAGGCCAGACCTTAAGATTTATACAGTATTAGACTTGAAAGATGTTTTTTTCAGCCTGACAGTTGCAACCAGCAGCCAACCACTCTTTGCCTTCGAATGGTGTGACCCAGACTGAGGGCTCAGCAGCTAGCTCACCTGAACCAGGCTGCCTCAAGTTTTTAACAATTCTCCTACTATCTCCAATGAGGCACTCGATCAGGACCTCTGTGAGTATCAGGCCTCCCACCCCACTATAAGCCTTCTCCAATACATAGATGATCTTCTGATAGCAGCCTCAGATAAATTTACTTCTGAAGAGGCAACCAAGGACCTGTTGCAGACACTAGACCAGCTTGGATACAAGGTATCTGCTAAAAGACCCAATTGTGTATGAAGCAGGTAATATACCTGCGATATGTCTTAAAGGATGGCCAATGCTGGCTCTCCCAGGCCAGGAAACAGACCATCCTGGGCATCCCCCACCCAAAGACCCAAAGACAACTTTGGGAATTCTTGGGGTCAGCTGGTTTTTATAGACTTTGGATGCCTGGGCTCACAGAAATAGCCAGATCCTTATATGAGGCCACTAGAGGGCAGGAGAACTCCTTCCAATGGACTAAGCAACAGAACATAGCCTTCCAAACCATCAAAGAGGCTCTCCTGAAGGCCCGGGCCATATCCCACCCTGATATTAACAAACCCTACCAACTGTTCATTGATGAGAGGCTGGGAGTTGCAAAGGGGGTCCTGACCCAACAATTAGGGCCCTGAAAAAGGCCAGTGGCCTGTCTTTCCAAAAGACTAGACTCAGTGGTGGCCAAATGGCCTAACTGCCTTTACATCATTGCTGCCACAGCATTGATGGTTAAGGATGCTGACAAAGTGACTTTGGGGCAGCCCTTGACCATTACTACTCCTCATTCTACCAAGGGAGTCCTCAAGAACCCACAAGACCATTGGATGACTAACACCAGACTGACTCAATACCAGGCCTTGCTCCTCAACCTGTCCCACATAGGGTTCCTATGTGGCACGTTGCTCAACCCAGCTACCCTACTGTCAGAACTGGACACAGAGGTCATGCATGATTGCATTGAAATCCTGTATAAAATTCATAGAATCAGACCGGACTTTACTGATATGCCATGGAAAGACCCAGATGACACCTTCTACACCAATGGCAGTAGATTCATCCAGGAAGGAACCAGGTATGTGGGGGTGGCAGTAGTCACCCTGACTGAGACCATATGGGCTACTGCCCTACCACCTGGGACTTTGGCCCAGAAGGCCCAACTGATTGCCTTAACCAAGGCCTTACAATTGGGAAAGGACAAAGCTGTTAACATCTATATGGATAGCTGCTAGGCCTTTGCCACAGCTTATGTCCATGGGGCCATTTATAAACAAAGTGGCCTAGTTATAGCAGAGGGGAAGACTATTAAAAATAAACAAGAAATCCTGTCCCTGCTCTCTGCCCTCTGGTTGCCTCAAAAGCTTGTTATCATCCACTGTCCTGGACACCAGAATGGGGACTCTCCCGAGGCTCAAGGAAATAGGAGGGCAGACCAGGCTGTCAAAGAGGCATCCTTACAAACTGTAAGCTTGATGATAGCTCTGCCACCTCCCACGTTGCCGTACCAACCAACTTATTCAAAGGAAAATGATGACAGTTTTACCTCCTTGCCACATACAAGGACCAGAGAAGGATGGTGGTACACTTCAGACGGCCGGATAATCCTACCCCAGGAATTGGCCATGACCCTGATTCAAGGACTCCATTACAGGACCTATCTGGGACAGAGAAAACTAAAGGCACTTTTAACCCCATAGAAGATTTTCAATTTACAACCTTTGATAGAAGTTTGCTTGGCTAAGTGCATTTCCTGCCAGGCCACTAATCCCCAAATGACAAATGGGCCCTCAGGAAAAAGAGAGAGAGGAGCTCTGCCTGGAGCCCATTGGCAGGTGGATTTCACTAAGGTAAAATCAGGCCAGTACGGTTATTGCTATCTCTTAGTGTTTTTAGATACTTTCTCAGGTTGGGTAGAAGCTTTCCCCACAAAAGGGAAAACAGAATCAATAGTGGTCAAAAATATTTTAGATGAACTAATCCCAAGGTATGGCCTACCCTCCATCATAGGATTAGACAGTGGACCTGCATTTGTCTCTAAGGTAACACAGGGACTGTTAAAACTATTGGGGACAAATTGGAAACTGCATTGTGCTTATCATCCCCAGAGTTCAGGTCAGGCAGAAAGAATGAATGAGACCCTTAAGGAGACCCTGAGTAAATTAACCTTGGAAACTGGAGAGGATTGGGTGGGCCTCCTTCCTTTTGCCTTATACTGGGTCAGGAATACCCCCTACATGTATGGTTTAACCCCTTATGAAATCATGTATGGAAGTTCCCCCCATTACTCCCTAAGCTACCTTCTGATGTCATAAATGAGATCTGAATTTCAATTTCTTTAGTCCATGCAGGCACTGCAGACATCCCAGGATAATAGCTTTCCCTTGTTGAGACATGTATATGAGCTACCCCCAATCTGGCCCCACGAGTTTAAGCCCAGGGACCTCATCTGGGTCAAACGACATTACAAGGAGACCCTTGGCCCCCAGTGGAAAGGACCCCATACCGTGATCCTGACTACATCGACAGCAGTGAAGGTAGATGATATCAAGACCTGGGTTCATCATAGTCATCTAAAACCAGTGCCAGACGGACATTACGATCCTGACAAGAGATGGAAAAATCACCCATCTATCTGAAAATCCACTCAAAATAAGATTTACAGCTGTTCATGGAAACTAGTTCTCATTGTCTCCCTTGTTCTCCCCTCCTTTGGTCACTCACAGGGGTCCCCCCACCAACTGAAAAATCTGACATGGATCCTCAGCAGCACTGCTACCGGGAAGACAGTGGCCTCTGTGTCTAGCCTGGCATCGATCGGGACCTGGTATCTAGATCTTCACTTTGACCTATGTGATCTCCTTGGACAGGACTGGGATATGGCCACATATGGATGTGATTGCCCTGCACCCCACAGTGCTCTCTGTAAACAGCATTACTACGTATGCTAAGAAAACAATGCTAAGGAAAAATGTTGGGGGGCTACTGACTATTTCTGTGCCTCTTGGGATTGTGTTTCCATGGGTAGTATTAATTGGAACCCACCAGCTAAAGATGACCTACTCCAAGAAAGTAGGGCCCCAGGGTCTTATTTCCTAGGACTCATAAGCCCCCCAGGGCTATCCCAAGTCCCGGGAATCAGATTTGCTGATATCAGACATTTGATGAAGGGGCCATGCTTAAATTGTAGATGCAATCCTATAAGGGTAAAATTTACTCCCCTGGGGAGAGAGGTCATTTGACAGACACTATGGTTAAATGGGGTGACATGGGGAATGAGATTACATGTCAACCAACAGGATCCTGGAACCCAGTTTTCCATCCAACTACATGTCAGAACCGACACAGGGACCCCGATTGGCCTCTTGTCACCTAAAGAATCTTTAAACATCCTACTACAGGCCCCTAGGGATACCCCTACTACCCAGGCTCCTTCTTCCAAAGCTCCTACTACCCCTCCCTCAATTAGGCAACAGGTGCCCCTGACCATTCTAGATGCTGTTTTTACCGTTTTAAATCTCTCTGACTCTAAATTATCCTGGAGTTGCTGGTTCTGCCTAGAGCCCAGGCCCCCTTACTATGATGGTATAGCAGTTCTGGGCACTTGCTCCTTCACCCCTGGTGTGAGTCATTGTAGGACAGGCCCTCCTATTGGAAGAACGGGCCTTGCCCTCACCCTAGACTACGAGTAAGGCTTATGTGTTACTTCTAAGAGGGAAAGATCCCACCCTCCCACCAACATCTCTGTAGATCTAATTCTAGCCTCATTCTAAATAGTTCCCACCTATACATTGTTCCCCCCACTAACAACTGGTGGGCTTGTACTTCAGGGATCACCACCTGTCTTCACTCCTTGGTATGTGATCAAACGAGGGAATTCAGTGTGCTAGTACAGCTAGTCTCCCACCTTTTTTACAGGTCAGATCTAGAATTGGAGGCTCAGGTCACCAGATGGGCCCAGCCAGGCAGAGAAATAGCCATGGTGGTTATAGTTCTCTCCATCCTTTTAGGAGTAGGAGTCTGCCCTAGTGGGCATTGGAGCCTCGGCTCTGATTTTGCAGGACCATAATTATCAAGCCCTCCAAACGGCAATAGATACAGACCTCTGCAGCTTGGAAAACTCAAACACTTAGAGGAGTCTGTATCCTCATTAGCTGAAGTTGCCTATCAAAACAGGAGGGGCCTAGATCTCTTACTAGAGAAAGGGAGGTTATGTGCTGCTTTGGGTTAACAATGTTGCTTTTATGTTAACCACTCGGGTGTGAGCAGACAGGCTCTAGCCGAGGTCAGCAGATGCCTAAAAGAACAGGAGGATGCTAGTGTCCAGCAACAACATTGGTATGAATCCTTATTCACATGGTGCCCATGGTTAACTACACTTATTAGAGCACTTGTGGGGCCCCTATTAATATTTTTGTTTGCCCTTACATGTGGGCCATGTCTGATAAATGCCCTCCTCAGGTTCATATGGACTGGGCTGGACACCATCCAACTGATGGTCCTCCATACTCAGTACAGCCCAGTGGCCCAGAAAGGCCCTTTACCCCAGACAACTGCTGGCTAACTGCAAAACATATAGCTTCTGTATAATTGCTTGCTTGCTATGTTTTAAAGATTTAACCCATGTTGCAACTCAAGGGGGAAATGAAGGATCCAGGTCACACTGGCTCCATTTTTTAGCAGCCTCCATCTTGTCAATCTTAAGTCTCTGTTCCTAGAAACTGTAAGTCTCGTTTGCCCCATACTGTGGGATAAGATTAGGCAAGCCCGGACATGCCTTGTTTATCTGAGTCTAAAGGAAAGCAACCGAAATGCCTGACCATAAAAGGGCATCCATAGGCCGATAGGGGCACCCTACCATAAAAGGAAAAATTGAGACATTCCAGGTGGCTGACCATGACTATAACCAATGACATTTCCCCCCGTACAAAAAAAATCAGAGTTAACCAATCAAATCAAAGGTCACCCAGTTTGTGTGGGCTTTTTTAAGAGAATTCCCCCCCAAAACCCTGCTCATTGTTGGTTAGGGCCAGACCCCATTCATTGGCTCCTGGGGTCTGTGCCGGACTGGTCATTCAAGAATTAGAATACTTTTCATAAATTTTGAATTTTGGTGGGTGATCTCCAGTTATTCCCGAACCTTGGACCCAACAAGTTCTGGATAGGATTATACGAAACAATTCTGATAAATTCCTGAGCACAGTGTCTGGCACAAGGTGCTATTAAAAAAAAATAGTACTTTTCTTCTTTTTCTGAAACTGCCTTTTTTTAAAAATAAATAATTTTGTGAGAATTTCATCTATGCATATAAGGTATTTGATCAAATCCATGCCCACTGAAACTGCCTTTTTAAGTAAAAGAAAATGCTATTTGTGTGACTTTTAAAGTGTTATTCCTTCATGGTAAAACCTAAGGAACTGCACAGAGCACCCTTTGCTGGAAGTGGCTATATTTACAATGTCCTTGGGAGGGATCGCGAGAGGAGAAAAACCTATGGTGAATTGGACAGTCCCTATTACCCCTGGTGTAAGGCCCAAGACGGATCTTGAAATAGGTGGCAGGAGGTTTTGCTGCCTAGTGGACACAGGGGCTGATAGGACCATTATTAGAAAGGAGGAGGTCCCATCACGATGGCACCTAGTTTCTGGGCCCTGAATCCTAGGTGTGGGAGGATACACCCCATCAGAGGAGACTCGAGAATGGCTCACCTGGCAGGATTCAGATGGAGCTAAAGGGGAGGTGTGACCCCTGGTGGCAGCAGGGTTATCCGCCAACCTCATAGGACAAGATATCTTAGGGGATGCACAGGTCTGCATAACCACTGATAGCAAGGTCTTTTATGATGACCTTTTGGATCTTGAAGAGTCTGATAGGCTTCCTGAGTCAGCAACTCAAGGGTTGTCTCGCCATATCAATTACAGGGGGGACCCAAAGAAAGAGCATCAGGTTCACCCCCAATTCCTAAGGGCCACTGCCCCTCAGTTTCTGGGTATCCGGTGGTCCCCTGGGGTGCTGGTATGGGTGGAGCAGTGGCCATTGCCTGAGACAAAGCTACAGGCTTTAAAGGAAATTGTACGGAACAATTATGGTTGGGACACATCCAGCCTTCTGTAAGTCCATGGAACACAACTGTCTTTGTTATTAAGAAAGCCTCTAGCAAATGGAAAATGTTGCAAGACTTGCGTAAGTCAATGCTAGGATGACCCTAGTGGGTACACCCTTAAGGGGGCTGCCTTGGATCCCTGCTATTCCCTCAGATTTATTCCTTATAATTATAGACATTAAAGATTGTTTTTTCTCTATCCCTCTGCAACCCCAGGATTGTGAAAAATTTGCTTTCTCTATACTATAGACAGTAAAGATTTTTTTTTCCTCTATCCCTCTAAAACCCCAGGATTGTGAAAATTTTGCTTTCTCTGTACCTTCCACCAACTTTAAAATGCCTGATGAGAGATATGAATGGAGTGTTTTACCCCAAGGTATGGCCAGTAGCCCAGCATTCTGCCAAAGCTACATGAAGACCCTTTTGGGGCCTGCTCACTTGCTGCTACATGCCACTGTGTACATTTATATGGATGATATAATCTTGGGAGCTCCAAGCCCCTAACAATTACAAGAGTTATATAAAGTTACTCAGAAATGTCTACAGACAGGCAGACTCCATGTATCCGCTGATAAAATACAGACTATTACTCCCTTTAAAATTCTGGGAACCATACTCTCTTTGGAAGGAGTAAGTCCTTTAAAACCACAACTGGCTGTCAAGCCCACCGTAACCCTGACATAGCTAGCCTCTCTGGGAGGCATACCACGGGCTTATACACCCACGGATCAATTGGCTGACCTGATTGAGAAAGGATGTGATGTAGCTCTGAGACATTATGGCATATACCCTCTTAAAATTGTTATCCCCTATTGGCTTAGGGATTTTGAATGGCTCTGCAGAAATAATAACCAAGTAGCCATAGCCTTGGAAGGGTTCCTGGGAAATTTGGACTGTCATTATGGCCCTCATAAACGGGTGACCTCCTTTCGTGCCCTCTTTTGGGAAGCTCCCTGGCTCTTTGTAAGGGAGCCCTTAGTAAAAGCCTACAATGTTTTCACTGACAGGGGCAGATTTGGAGTTGCAGTGGTAGTAACAAAGATAAGTGAGCCCATGAATTTGTTTTCTGACAGTCTGTATGGAGTCAATCTTCCTCCAGGGCTATTAGGTTCTCATATCCGGTTGGATGGGAACCCCATTACTCCCTTGATGATTCAGACTCATATGCTCCTTAGAGAGAGAGAAGCCCCTATATTCTTACAGCATCTTAGGGGGCACCAAGGATTGCCTGAGCTTTTATCCCAAGAGGCAGACAAGGTGGCTTCCACCCAGGCCCTGTCAGCAGGCCTGAATGAAGCCCAGGGGTTACATAACCTCACTCATATAAATTGGCGGGGACTCCATAAGAGGTTTCCTCAAGTTCCCATCAAAGACCTAAAGAAGATTGTACATACCTGTAAGTCTTGTCAACCCTTTCTACAGATACCACCTCCGCAACAGCCAGGGGTAAACCGCTGGGGACTCAAGCCAAATTCCTTGTGGCAAACGGATGTCACACACTATGCTCCTTTTGGAAAGCTTAAGTATATTTTCATGTCCATTGACACATTCTCACATGCCTGTTGGGCTACCACTCATACAGGAGAGAAGTCTAAACATGCTCAGTCTCATTTTCTCCAGTGCTTTGCTACGTTGGGATTGCCCCAAAGAATTAATACTGATAATGGACCATGTATTGTGAGTAAAAATTTACAAGATTTCTTCTCATTTTGGGGAATTCAACACCATACAGGAATTCCCTACAATCCCCAATGTCAAGCCATTATAGAACGCAACCATCAAAACCTAAAAACTCAATTAAAAAACAAAAAGGGGGAATAAGCCCCCACCAACAGTTGGGTGTGGCCTTATTCACTATTAATGTTCTTAATTTTCAAAAAAATCAGTTGGAATCCCGGTTTCAGAAGCATTGGGGACGACAGGAGCAGAGAGCTGAGGTATGGGTAAGATGGAAGGATCCCATCACCGGGCAATGGAAAGGACCTGATCCATTGCTAACCATGGGCTTTGGGTGTGTCTACCCTACAGGAGATTCAAACCCCATATGGGTGCCTGCAAAAAACCTTAAGTGGGTAGGCCAGGATCTGACTGATTAGCATGACGGTCCATGGACAATAGTTCATGAGAAAAAAATTCCTCTCTTTATTTGTATCCATCTGATGTAAAGGATCGAGTTCCTTGACTTCATTGCCAGTGAACTGGCTGATTGGCTAAAAGGTACATGGTCTCAGAAGTATTTCAACTTGTCCTACGCCATGACTTGCTTTGTTTCTCTTGATAATGCTTATCTTTAAGTGTCTTTACCAGATAATTTGGCAACAGAGGACCCTTGCAACTGCCACAGCCCACCTCGTCATGATTACAGACTTCCCCAGGACCCCCTCTCGTTGCCCACGCTTGGCTAACCGAGTTAGGCAGAGACTGTCACGGGCTGGCATTACCCATGTGGCTGCCCTTAATCATGATGCATTTTTAGCCAAAGACGGGTATGATGTCCCATGACAAGTACTCCTAAGACAGGACATGTACATGGCCAGGTGCATGATCCAATGACGGGCAAGGCTTGATCAGAGGTGACACAACCTAAGACAGATAAGAGGAAGGAGATAACCATCTTTCCTCAGGGAGCCGCCTATGAGGTGGGTAACCCATGAAATAAAGTCAGTCCGGCCTTAAAATAAAAATAAAAAGGGGGATATGTGGGGACCTAAAGGCCCCACCTTGCAAAGGTCGGAAAGGAAGTTACTGGGGGCGCAGCCTGGCTTGCTTTGAAAGTTTGAAGAATACTTCCACACTGCTGAGGAGTGCATAATCAGCGTGTGACCATCCTTAAGATACACCCTCGTGGGGGAGGGGGGAGTTCTAGGTGCCTTTATAAGCTTTGTAACACCTGCAATAAATGAGTCCCTGGTTGACTAGACTTCCCGTTGCGTCTGAGTGTACCCAGGTAATAGGGGCGGCATGGGCTGGCGAACAGCATGCTTACTCATCCCCAGTCATTACCTCCCCAGGGGTCACTATTTCCAACCTCTGGCACACAATCTAGCAAGAACATCAAAATGAAGACATTGAGATGCTATTGACATCAGCGAATTCAGTTAGACTGCAGAATGTACTAGTACATCATGACGATTTTTTTGCAAATTTTCTGCCTCAGTTTTGGTCTTTTCATCCATCCCCAGGTCATGTTTTCCTTCGGATATGACCTCATATCTCTCTTCTATCTTTCCTTCACTCAGATTACTCAATCCTCTGCAGACAAGAGAGCTGATGTCAGCCAATACTAAATGCTAAGGAGGCAGCTGAGCCAAAATTGTCATGTTCTATAGTGGGGAGTGGAGCTGGCAACTTGCCTTACAGGAAGTCTGCAGGTGACATTACAACATTCTTTTGAACATACATATAAAATATTATATCTTCAGGGTCTTTTAACTAGGGTTGAATAGAAGGGATATTCATGTTTAATACTGATTACTTGAACAAAAATTTGAATGAATGAGCTTTCTGTATCCAATGTGTGATTATTCACAGGCAAGCTATCCAATACTCTTCAACTCTATAACACTATCATGTTAATTATTTTTAAATTTGTGTGTGTGTGTGTGTGTGTGTGTGTGTGAATGTAGGTGGGCCCATGTCACCGTGTTGGCCTGTAGAAATCAGCAGACAATTTTCAGAAGTCAGGTCTTTCAGGTTTCAGGGATCAAACCTGGATCATCAGGTTGTGCGGCAAATTCTTCTGTCTGCTGATCCATCTCACTAAAGGTTAACTCTGGGAGATACTGAAATGCTAAGAGGGAAGCAAAGCCGCTTATCTGAGGGAAAGGAAGGAGGTGATGCATGTTTAGGCCCTGGGGTCCTGTCCTGAATGGCTTTAAATTTGCATAGACCCTTGTCTTGTCCATTGCAGTTGAGGGTTATAGCACTGATCATGTGCACAGGGACAAGATTCAAGTTCTGTGATGAGAGATGAGCAAAAGGAAGTCCACTGTGAGCTCTCCACTGTCTGTGTCCACACCGGCCCATGCTGTAGCTGAGGGTTTCTCCATAGTTATCAAACTTTCCATCTATTATGCTCACAGGGATTACTCAGTCTTAGCATCAAAGAAGATAAGACTTAGGTCTGTATTTTGACAAATCTCTAAAATGGCATTTTATGTTCTTATTCTTTTAAACATCCATAG